GTTTCCATATTTGCCATGTGTCTGTCCAGATATGGGGTTGGGCTGTGGTGAGGCTGTGCCCAGTGGAATGGGTCACCGGTCAGACCTGGGGAATATGGGGTGGGGGTGGGGAATTGGGGCAGAATCCTCTTCCCAGATTTGCTGATTCTGCCTTATGCAGGGGTCCAAAGAATGGGTTGTGGGGAGGCCCAGGTTGGATGGGGAAAGGCTAATGAGTCAGATCCTACCCCACACCCCACCTCTTGAGGCAGTACAGCTCCCATCCTGCAGCTCATCTGGGAGCATCACTCTCCTGCTTTGTAAATAGGACATCATTCCCCCTGTCATGAGGCCACCATTATGTCTAGGCCTGCACCAGGAGGCTAATGCTAGGTTCTGCCTTCGTTTTTCTCAACACTACATTTCTGATGGGAGGGCAGCAGTTTCTTCTGAATGGGAAATCATGTGACTACTCAGAATGTGTCCCCTTCATCTGATGCTCTTCTGTTTACTGGTGATGCCTCGTGCAGGATCTGTTACCTGTGCATTCGTGAATACCCGGAGGTTGGGTGATCAGTGTCTCTAGTCCTGCCCAGTTCATGGTAAGATTTGATCCTGTCTCCCTCAAATAAATGTATCGGTGGTGATTTGGAGATTTGTGGGGAGTCTTTTATTCTTACAAGCTTAAATGATTTCAGAGTATTTCTCAGCCCTTCCTGTTGGTGTGACAAGGGGCTGTGAGGGACAGGGCTCAGGGCTGCTTAGCCTGGAGATGATAGGCACCAGGGATTGGTGTAGGTCAGTTTTGAGGGGGAGACTCTGGATAATGAGGCTGGGGTGCCACTTCTCAGAACAACCACCAGTGCGTAGACCAGGGAGACAGGTCTTTCAGAAAATGTTTCACCCAAACCCCTGTCATCTCAGCTTCATTTGATGGTGACATATCTTTTAAGCTTTATAAGAGTCATTTGTCGTGATGGCTATACGGTTACCACAGAAGGGGCAGCCAAAACTTATGAGTGTTTTGAGTTATATCAGTGTTCCCCTAAGTGTCACTCTGCCTATACTCTAGGGGACCTGGCTTGTGAGAGTAGGGATCTATTGGCTTTGGTCACATTTTCCCCCCAGGGATAGGATGGGTCACCTCCCTGAGGGAAGTCCCCTGAGATGCTTGTACACAACTGTTTTTTCCCAGTGACCTAGTAACAGTTGAGTCAAGGTCAGTGTTACTTTACATGTCCTTGTTTCCCAGGAATGCACAAGTATGCCTGTGTGGGGATAAATGTACACTGGTTGAGGCTACTAAGGTCTTATAACTTGGCAGCCCACATTTGCTTTCCTGGGGAAACACCTCCGACAGCTAAGGTGAAGGGAAGGAGAGCACATGTCATGTGGGCAGGCCTTGGGTCTCTAGGCCTATCAGAGGGGATCTGTCTCATGGCCGGTGACCTTTCCCCAGCCTAGCATAGTTTCCCACGGCACTGACCACTGTCCTGGGTAACTTCCTGTCGTTTTACCTTCATCCCACTTCTGTGTTGGTTACTTCCCAGGGCCCCTTAGATTTAGGGTACTGGCATCTCTGGAACCTGAGCTGAGCTGGCCCTGGAGAGCCTCTCCCTCTGACAGCCACATCCTCCTGTCTAGGATAAACAAACTAGGGACTTCTGAATTTGAGGGTCTCAACTTCATTTCCCAGGCTCTCTTCCACATCAGAAATGGCATGAAAATCTCTGGATACTTTCCCAATTTTTGGTTGAATGAAGTGAAGGTTTTTCATCAAATCAAAAAGTAAGTTTTCAGACTTTGCACCTAGAGCTCAGTGGCTAGGGTGCTGGCCACATACACTGGGGCTGGCGGGTTTGAACCCAGCCCAGGCTAGCTAAACAACAATGACAACTACAACCAAAAAAATAGCCAGACGTTGTGGTGGGCTCCTGTAGTCCCAGTTACTTGAGAGGCTGAGGCAAGAGAATCACTTAAGCCCAAGAGTTGGAGGTTGCTGTGAGCTGTGACACCACTGCGTTCTACTGAGGATGACATAGTGAGACTGTCTCAAAAAAAAAAAGTTTTCAGTTCATTATTCATACCCTTATATGTGTTAACTATTATTTGTTAACTGGGACCTTTGATCTGAGGGCTGAGGCTGCCCTCCTGCCATTCCCTGGCAGTCTTAGAAACTAGAATGCTGAGTCCTTATCTAAGAAGATGGAGTGGGGTTGGGCAGGAGGGAAGCTGAGCTGCCAGCAAGGAGGGGTGATAAGAGCAGGAATGTCCTTGGGGGGACCTTCTCCTCTGGGAAGACCTTACTCTGATGGGCAAATTTAGAAGAACTTATGATAGGTCTTTGGGACCCCCAGTACCAGTACCTTTAGGCATATACCCGAGAGAACTGGAAACTTATGTTCACACAAAAACTGGTACATGAATGCTTAGGGTAGCATTATTTATAGTAGCCCAAAGGGGAAACAACCCAATTGTCCAATGATGAATGGATAAATAAAACATATTCAGGCTCAGTGCTTGTAACTCAGTGGTTAGAGTGCCGGCCACATAGACCCAGGCTGGTGGGTTCAAACCTGGCCTGGGCCTGCTAAACAACAATGACAACTGCAACAAAAAAATAGCTGGGTGTTGTGGTGGGTGCCTGTAGTCCCAGCTACTCAGGAGGCTGAGGCAAGAGAAT